GTGTGATGCCGAGCAAGGTAGAAGCGGCTCTTGAAACTGATTTGAAAAGCCGTAATTGTATCAGCCCTGTTATTGTTCTACAATATAATTTTAACAATTCGCTTTCAGATACCCCTGAAGACTCTGAAGCAGCCCGAGCAACAAACCATGGGAAAACGACATCTCAGAAGATCGACAGAAAGTCCACCTGTAAGTGATTCGATACTATTTCTCCACCCGCCGTCAGTTCAAGATGAATTCGTTGCCCAATAAACTTCAACTGAAAAACACTCTATGAAAACATTTTAGGCTGTACATGCCAACAAGGGCCACCCGGCCCTCCTGGTCCGCCTGGTGAAGATGCCAAGGACGGCATGGATGGCCCACCAGGCCGAAACGGTGCACCGGGAAGAAATGGTATGGTTCTGCCTGCTCTAGATGCACCTCCAGAGCCATGTGTCATATGTCCCGTGGGTCAGCCCGGGCCACCCGGGCCTATGGGACCTAAAGGACCGCCCGGACCGCGAGGAGCTCCTGGGCTACCCGGCAGTGTAAGTATCTCGTCTAAAACTCGATCAGTTTTATTCTGAATCAGCTGCTTCAGAACGGCATGAAAGGTGAGCCTGGCATAATCGGTCCTCATGGTCCAACTGGACGTCCAGGGAGACCAGGACCAAAAGGTCCCAGAGGCGAGCCTGGCAAACTAATCACGGTTAGTCAAACTGTATAGTAGTAATAGTGCAGTGCACAACTCTTTAGAAGTTCGAATGGTAAGCAAACTGTAATAACGTTGTTTAGGTAGCTGGTCCGATTGGCCCACCAGGGCTCCCTGGAAAAATTGGAATTGTTGGTCCGAAAGGAGAAAAAGGCGCTGCTGGCCAGCCAGGGGCTAGAGGACCGCCAGGACTCTCCGGAGGTGAGCCTATTTCCTCGGATGATTCAGGTCACTGCTGTTGGCGCGGTGTGGGGGGGGGGGGGTATTTTGCACTTTCGTTGCTTCACTAGTTCTGGTTTACAAGTCTCACTCTGGTCCTGTGAACTCTTGTGAAGCTGGAGCAAGCTCGTCAAGCCATCATGGTAAAACCTGTCAACTCGAGAAGAGGCTGTCTAGATGGGTCGACACGTCGATGGGAAGTAGCAAAAGTGCAAAATGCCCTCTCCCTCGTCGTCAAGCTGCCCCGGAATATGTGTTCTGTTTCAGAGAGAGGTCTCCCTGGTCCGCGTGGACAACCAGGTCCCCCTGGTCGGCAGGGTCCCGCTGGACAGAACGGCGACAATGGTTCTTGCACGCACTGTCCAGTGCCACGACTTCCACCAGGATTCTGACAGCAGATCTCAAATTTTTCATTCCCATTTTGCTATAAATTTTGTGTTGTTGTTTTTGTTTTGAAGAAAAGCTGGCAGTCGCTATGAATTCAGTCTCCTTGTGAGGTACAATACGAATTGTCATACAAGACGACTTTGAAGATTCAACCGGTGCGGAGTCTGTGCTTCTATCATCCCAGGCGGGTCTGGTACCATTCCACCATTCTTAAATGGATGAAAGTCTTGGTTCACCTGGCTGCGGATCCGAGAGTTAGGTCAGCGCACTCTCAGGAACAGAAGAAAACTCTGAGATGGGGGATACACAGCGAAGGGACACCAAAATCCAGGTCTGAGACCAACTCCTTCATCCGGCGTGTCTTGGCAAGCAATCTAGCATTACGAAAGGGTAGGAGAGCGTAACTGGTCCTTTCCACGACACTTACTGGGCTGACCACTCTGGCACTTTTTGTGCTCACGACAAACTTCCGCCCTACAGAAGAAAAAATTTTTCGAATTCGATACTACTTTAGAGAACTTCTTACAATATAGAATAATCCTCTTTGTTTTTTTTGAAAATTCGGCTCTCATTATTTCTCAAGCACTCAAATAAGAGTATTAGGTAGACGAAACTGAGAATTTTCGACAACCTCTCTTTTCTACATCTGGTTGGAAACTAAAACTGCACAAGCTCATCCGTTAAGTGCGTGGCCAAGAGGCAATGTCCCTCACAATCAGACATGCTTATAAGTGTTTAGGCAGTTCGAGGATTTCAATCCCACTCTCACAGATAAGAATGTAAGCTAGTGCTCTATTGAGTACGACTGAGAGCTTACTGAATCACCTTATTCACAGAGATTCAAGCCAAAGAAGGGAGGAATAGTATATGTCGTGGATAGCTCCCACTTTCTCATTGAGCATCACCTGCACTTGATGGGAGAAGTCTGAAACTTTGTGGATGGTTTTTGCAGGCAGCCGATCCCCACTAGTGCGCCCCATGCGATTCACATATACAAGGTCCGAATTCCCACCTCTGAATTGCTTCAACCAGCTTCAAGACCGTCCTAGGAAGCGTCATTCCTCGATTACCTTTTTTGGGCTTGTTCTGCAATTTGAGAGCCTAGATAAAAGCCTCGGTCTGCGATTAGGTATAGAAGTTGAAAATATGGCGTCAGAAGGGTAGTATGGTCCGCGACGAACATGCTTGTATAGTACAGTTCAAGGTATTGTAGCGTCATGTAATGTGTGCAAGACAAATTACTTTATGTTAGCCTTACAGTCAATGTTAATCATTATGTGGGGCTCATTATAAGGGGTTTAATGTAGGGAGTATGAGGTAGTTTGGTTTTCGTTTCGCACGTGCCCTTGTACCAGTTTCGCGGCAAAAGTTGTAAGGGAGGGGCGCTATAGCGCAATATAGCTTCAGTGACGCCTCCTTTTTTCCAGTGACTCCGCCTCCAGACTCCGCTTTCGAGGTTCGCTTTTCAGTGCTGCAGGACGAAAAAGCATGAAAATCGTCACTTGTATGGTCGTAGAGTTGTTATCGGAGAATCAGCTGCGCGGATGAAGGCGTAGTTGATGAGTTAATGGGGCTCGTACGAAC